ATAACATATCTTTTAGATTTAGCCATTTTATGAACATTCTATATTCATTCCAGCACCCCTCTTGCACAGAAGAAAATTTATTAGAAGTCAGAGTAAGCTCTAGTATATGTTATGTATGCATAGACTATTAAAAAGCAGCAGGGGAGCAGACAGAGGAAAAGCTAAGAAAAAGCAATTTAATTTGTAGGCATAGGGGAACATGATAGAGATGCTTGTTAAAAACCAAACAGACAAAATAAATTCCCTAAAGAAGTCACAACCACCTCTGCAAAACTGGCCTATGTACATCTGGAATAAACTAAAGAAAAACCTTAAGTCTCTTTTAAGGATGCCCGAATCCTAACTTGAACACAGACTTGTAGCTTGAAGCATGGTAGTTTCCAGCAATGCCAAGCCTCAAAACTGCCCCCAAATTAGAGAGGAGAAACAAAATACATTTGGGGGTGGGGGTGGGGTTAAAATGATTTTGTTTTCATTTGAAGGCCTGGACATTATGAGGTCACAGAAGAAGGAAGTTACAGGGTTCTAGAGCATAATCCTTGAAAGCCCCCAAGGCTGGACTCCTGGCCTGTCCTCTTCATCCTCAATTTATCTTCCATGAGAGAAAGGCAGCCCAAAATGTTGTGAAGCTATTCTGCATTAAAGACAGTCTCAAAAGGTATTTTAGCTTTGCAAAACCTATGCAAAAGGATGGAAATGTGCCCACCGATCCAACATTATGTTTAACGTTTCCTAAAACTTAGTAAGTGCTGTGTTTTCAGTTTTAGAGTAAAATAGAAAAGTATTTAGCTCTTCTGACTGGAATTCTGTAACTGGAATTTAAGAAGACTAAACTTCTAATTAGAACTTTCTAATGCTTATGTCTATATTATTCCAAAAAAGTGTAAATATTGTTTAAGCATTTTTTATAATATAGAAATGTGCACTGAAGAGAGTTATCTAAGGATTGTACTATAAACATCATGAAACTTAAAATAACAAGCATAAATTACAACCGAATGGTAAAAAAGTCATACTGCAGTCAAGCATTTACCAATGAAGTTTGACTTAAGGCTCATTATTATTTATTAAATAATAATTCCAATAGTATCTACTATTATCAGATGCTACTTGTTAAACAGCTGTTTTATGTGTATTCTTTCAAACTCTTACATTATGTTTATAAAATGGCTATTATTGTGCTCATCTTATGCTAAGGATACTGAAGCTAAAAAAGTTCAAGTTATTTTTCTAATGTAACTCAGCTAGCAAGGAGCAAGACTGCGATTTAACTTCCAGGTCTGTCTGCTTGCAAAGGTTTGACACCTCACTAAAATCTCCCTCAACTGTAGCAATGTAAGGTCCAAAGGAAATCTGTACTAATCTGCCTAGGGTCAGAGGGTGCTTATGAGGGTAAATGCTGTATATTTGACTACTCAAATTGAATGCCCTCTGGAGTCTTTTACTCCACTTGGTACAAATGTCCTACATGTATTACAGTCAATGCTGGCTTCGGTCAAGAATTTGCTAACTTTCCTGCCTCAGTTCCATCAATAAGCATTATGTATATGACAATACCAATCAGGAAATACACGTAGCTGATTCTAAAGCATCATTTAAAAACTGCTAATAGTTTAGATTCCTTTAATTAATACTTTTTAAAACATACAAATAATCTGTCAACCTAATGTGTTAATTGGATGAATCAATTTCCTTCTTCCCAAAACCCTCATCTATCTTCATAGTAAATATTTTCTCTAATGACTAAAAATCATGACCTCTTAGTAGGACTTTTTTTTATGATCACAAGTTTACAATTACAGTCAACTTGGGTTTGAACAGCACAGCTACATGAATTTTTTTTCAATCAAATATATTGAAAAATTTTTGGAGATTTGCAACAATTTGAGAAAACACTTTCTCTAGCTTTAGAGAAATTATAAGAATACAGTATATAATACATATAATGTACAAAATATGTGTTAATTGACTAGAGATTTTATTGGTAAGGCTTTCAGTCAACAGTGACTATTAGTAGTTAAGTTTTCAGGAAGTCAGAAGTTTTACATGGATTTTTTATTTTGCTATCATTAATGCACAATTACATGAACATCATGGTTACTAGACTCCTCCTATTATCAAGTCCCCACCAAATGCCCCTTTACAGTCACTGTCCATCAGCATAGTAAGATGCTATAGAATCACTACTTGTCTTCTCTGTGTTATACTGCCCTCTCCATGTCCCCACTTCCACATTATACATGCTAATCATAATGACCCTTTTTCCCCCTCATCCCTCCCTTCCCACCCATCCTCCCCAATCCGTTTCCCTTTGGTAACTGTTAGTCCATTCTTGGGTTATGCGAGTCTGCTGCTGTCTCTAACTAGGACTTTTATGGTGTTTTTTATACTATTACAGTAAAAAAAAAAAAACACAAGAGACAAGAAAACAGGAAAATGTCACGACTTTTCAAAGGCAGAAAAAAAAATAACCTGAAAATATTGGTTAGTTCGAACAAGTATGTCAGCAAATAATGAATGGGAGTAAAACTAAAAATCAAAAAGCATTGTTTCAGAATTATTCATTCATAATCAAGAGATATCAAACAACCTGGTGGACATTTAATGCAAGCTGTCACATTTCCAGTTCAGACTTAGGTTCGGCATCACTCACAGGGACCTTCAGATCAGCTGCTCCCACTCAGCTTACAGCTCATGTGCTGTGACTTATTCATGCCCTTGCTATTAAGCAGAAGGGTAACTTTACAACCTTCACTAAGAGCTTTTGTTCCTTCTATGCTAATCTTTTTTCATCTATTAAAAAGTCACTTGAGTTTAGCACTCATTAAGAAATTAATGGGTTTAAAAAAAATGAATGGCTTAGACATTAAAAGTTCAAGCAAAAGCTTCAGCTGAGTTGAATTTTTTAATGTTAAAAATAAGTGTCATGTCAATAATCTTTCAACCACAAAGACGTGAACATAGCTAGAATGACTACATTTTGAAAAAGTCTTTTCTCACTTAACCTACATTTCCCTTCAACAAAAGAAACCCACCTTTCATACTAATCCTGTAAATTAACTTCGAAGTCTAATTTGGGGGGCTTCACAATAACGAAAAAATGTTCCTGTCTCATTAGGTCCTTTTAAAATAAATGAATCATTTTTGCCAGTTACAGTGACCTGAAGTTTTATGTTTTTTACCTCAACATAAAGATAAATTAATTATTTGACAGTTTAAGTTATTTACAATAGATTATTAGATTTCACAGTAATTTTCAAATTCAAACAGGTCTCATTATAAAGAGTATGGATTTTCTGGATAAAGTAATTGTAGCTGCTCAGGTTCATTTTGCTGAAAAAGTATCGCAAAATCATCTTGAAAACATATGCACATGTTCACACATCTTTTTAGGTGCCATCACGTTCTGCTCTTTCTTTTACTACACAAAATTAACCATCCAAGAGAATCAAGAACTCAGGCCCACTGCAAAATGGTCCCAGACAGCATGTGGGACACTGGAGATACTCAGCATATGTCTACTGGTATTAGGAATCAAATTATGAAAGAACAATTTGTATTCTATAAAATTCATCGATGAACCAAAAATTTGTCAGCCAGATGAGAACAACAGCACCTGATGTCACAGTAGGGAGTAAGAACAATGAATGGTCATTCTGATGAGAAACCATGCTAAATTTAGACATCAGGCCCAAATGACTGAAAAAAACCACCTGTGGCAGATATAATCACCAGTGTGCATATGGGTAGGTCACTCTGCTTATGTGTAGCATAGTGTCTGCAGACAAACTAAGGAGTCCCTCTTATTTCATTTATTTCAAGCTAACTTTTCACTTTAAAACAATGTATGTAAGCATTGTCAAAAGATAAAACCAGTGGCTGATATGCTATGGTATTTTTTAAAAAAGCATGAGAAAAACACAGGTGGAACAAAAACTAGAGTAAGCTAAAAAGAAAGCATCACTCATTGAAAGATAGATGCACAAAGATACACAGTAACATGGTATAATCTTCCTGACCTTGTAAATATGTGGCCAAAAATAAATACCTTTAAGAGGCAACTATTACTAATTACCAAAAAGTTACCAGTCCTTACCGGATGAATCCCCTCAGCCATGTACACCGAACATGCACGTGCCTCCTTTCCCATCCCTCAGCCAAATAGTCATTACAAACATACTAATCCCAATTATTTCCTTACATAACTAAAGACAAAAAGAACAGGAATTCCAAGAAATAACAGCAAAACTAACAGCACTCTACCTTGTTTTAAGGCTGTGTCTGGGTGAAGGCTACTTCTCAGCCCTCAAAGCTCCATTAACCACCAAGACCAGGACTTTGGCATATATGGCACAAACGCCCCCACTGGAACACCACTGTACCTAAACGACCTCAGAAAACTGGACTTTATTTCCAAGATTCATTGATACAAAGGTAATGACCATAATGAGCCTTCAAACTTTGTTGATGTTTCCTGTGGACACACATGGCCAAGTGAACATACTAGGTTCTGTTCTTGCAGGGTACCCTGACACCTTGATAAATGAGGGTTAAGGTTCCAAATTCAGCAAACTCTTAAGAGTTTGCAATAGGTTGGTGGCGTTCAAGAGATTGTACTCCAGCAGCTCTTATTTCCAAGTGGGAATTGCAAGAACACCTTAAATGTGCAATGCCAATGGACTCGACTTGCTTTCTGCTGCAAGGGCAAAGTGTCACGAGTCCCATCCCCACCCCCGACCTCCCCCCTACAAAATCCCACTATGTCCTGGGGGTACTTCAGTTAAACTGTGTTAAAGTCGCTTTTGCAAAATTTATCTGGAGTGAAATGAAAAAGAGAGGGAAGGCACAGAATCAGGAACCACCCTCCGAGGGAGCAGAACAGCCAACATGCATTGTGACAAATCTCAGTGTGTATTTCCAGGGGCCACGGGGACTGCTGGCCTTACCAGCGTGGGAAAAAGCAGCCCAGGGGCCTCGGTGAGGGCAGAGCTGGGGCTTACCTTGTTGGAGGCCATCTCACTGACAGAGTGCCTGGTCTGCAGGGTCTCTAGCTGGTCCAGACACCAGTCCAGCTCCTCCAGGGTCTCGCTGGCCAGTTTCTGGTAGGCCTCCTCTGCGAAGAGATAGGGAAAGGGGGACTCAGTTCTCAAGCGCTTCACGGGGCCGCCAGCGAGTTCAAAGGGGGCCATCCTGCCATACCCCGCCATGCTCGGACGCCCGGTGCCCGCACATGAGGGCTGCTCCTTCATATTGCCGAGCCAGGCACCGCGGGGGGGGGCCCGAGGCTCAGCTAGCGGGGCGGCCGGCCTCGGGAAAGCACGGTCTCTCCAGCTTGGCGACTCAGTTCGGCGTCCGGGGAGGGCGCACCAAGTGCGGCGAGCCAACTTTTACACGGAGACACGGACACGAAAACCACGCTGCGACTTCCCGACGGTGCGGCGCGCCGGAGTCCCAGGCCTGGAGGGTGGCGACGGGGGTGGCGCGCGCGCCGCGGAGGCCGCCCCGCTGAGGGGAGCGTCTGGTCCACGGCCGGACCTCCTCGGCGCCGGGCCCCGAGCCGCGGCCCCGGGCCCGCCCCGCCTGCCGAGCGTTCACTCGAAGCGAATGAATCAGCCGCGGCCGGGTGCGCAGCCACCACGTTTCCTGTTTTCTTTCTCAACTCCTCCGGCGCCGGGCGCCGCGGGGCTCCATCGCCGCGGCTTTCCGGGAACACTCCCCCTCACGCCCCTCGCGGCCTCCGGCGCTGCCCGGCCCCTCCTAGGCTCCCTCGCACACAGATTCCGAATTGCCAAACCCTGCCCGCGCCCCCTTCCCCACTGCCTCAGCCCCGAGCGCCTCGCCGTGGCAGCAGCCCGCACAGCCCGGCGCCCCTCGCTTTGAAGCCGAGCCGGGACGCGCAGGCTCGGGCGTGTGGTCGTGGGGCTGCTATGGGGCTGCGCGAGGGGAGCGGCGGAAAACGGCGTGGAGCGCCCGCCGCCCGGGGTCGCGCCCGCCGCTCAGGCGGGACCTGGCGCGCACGCGCGCGCGGCCGCGCACCTGCCCGGCGGGGACCCCGCGTGCCCTGCCGACCAGAGCCTCAACGTCTCCACTGCTGGTTGCTCCTTGCGAGGTTTCGCGGGAGGGCTCCATAAACAAGGTTACCTAGGACTCATACAACGTTTCTGTGGGTTTGGGTTTTTTGAGGCTTTATTTCTGAAAGTCTAGAATTAACCTACTTCAGGGGACACGGGGGTTGTGAGAATTAAAAGTATTTCTATTAAGCCCAGACTCTTTCAGTACCCAGTCCAGCCCATGCTATTTACCGATTTTTAAATTTGGTGGTGGACGTAAACAAGCAAACAAAAACATTCAATGTTGTGGGGCTGAACGTTTTAGAATTTAAAGATAGCGACAATACGCTGTGTTACCACATTCAGAATTGTTTGAATTATCTTAAAGGAACTACACAATGTGAATGCACCAACAGCATGGGCGATTTACACATGTCCTGCATTAGTGCTTTCTTTTCTTGTGGAATTGAACATCATGGGACGAGGATGGTCTTGTGATGCCAAAAGAAACAGTCTGGAAGGGTCTTTCTACCCATTATGCACAGAATAAACTACAAACGTGAGAAAATGGAAAGACCATACCCAAAGGCATCGTATGGAAGCCAGTTCTATTTACAAAAGCTGACCCTAGGGGACCATGGGAACGCTACTTGAGCCGATCAATTGCGAATAATTTCACTACATTAGCATGTGGGTAAGCAAACCATTCAGAGGGGGGAAAAAGTCAAAACTCCCAAGAGTCCATCTTAGAAAACTTTGTTATTGTCAGCTAAAAAGAATACACTGAAAAGCTTACATGAAGTTAGTGAGATCCTTTTTCTTTGTCATGGGGCTGCGCGAGGGGAGCGGCGGAAAACGGCGTGGAGCGCCCGCCGCCCGGGGTCGCGCCCGCCGCTCAGGCGGGACCTGGCGCGCACGCGCGCGCGGCCGCGCACCTGCCCGGCGGGGACCCCGCGTGCCCTGCCGACCAGAGCCTCAACGTCTCCACTGCTGGTTGCTCCTTGCGAGGTTTCGCGGGAGGGCTCCATAAACAAGGTTACCTAGGACTCATACAACGTTTCTGTGGGTTTGGGTTTTTTGAGGCTTTATTTCTGAAAGTCTAGAATTAACCTACTTCAGGGGACACGGGGGTTGTGAGAATTAAAAGTATTTCTATTAAGCCCAGACTCTTTCAGTACCCAGTCCAGCCCATGCTATTTACCGATTTTTAAATTTGGTGGTGGACGTAAACAAGCAAACAAAAACATTCAATGTTGTGGGGCTGAACGTTTTAGAATTTAAAGATAGCGACAATACGCTGTGTTACCACATTCAGAATTGTTTGAATTATCTTAAAGGAACTACACAATGTGAATGCACCAACAGCATGGGCGATTTACACATGTCCTGCATTAGTGCTTTCTTTTCTTGTGGAATTGAACATCATGGGACGAGGATGGTCTTGTGATGCCAAAAGAAACAGTCTGGAAGGGTCTTTCTACCCATTATGCACAGAATAAACTACAAACGTGAGAAAATGGAAAGACCATACCCAAAGGCATCGTATGGAAGCCAGTTCTATTTACAAAAGCTGACCCTAGGGGACCATGGGAACGCTACTTGAGCCGATCAATTGCGAATAATTTCACTACATTAGCATGTGGGTAAGCAAACCATTCAGAGGGGGGAAAAAGTCAAAACTCCCAAGAGTCCATCTTAGAAAACTTTGTTATTGTCAGCTAAAAAGAATACACTGAAAAGCTTACATGAAGTTAGTGAGATCCTTTTTCTTTGTCTTGAATCTAAAGGAGGAGAAGAAATTTTTCCCCTTTAAGTTTAGACTTCATAAATGATCAATGGTGCAACAAACAATTTCGTGGACTGAGTCTCAGGCTCCTGGGATTTTCCAGATTGGTTTTCATTAGAATTCGTGAAAGTTAGAATAACTTTCAAAGTATTTGTTACATGGGCCACATGGCTCATTGTTATCAAGGATTCTTGAACTGTTGGCTATTCACTTTGACAACTTGGTTAAAATTTGCCTCCCTTATTCACTTTTGTAAATGTCCTGCACCACTCTCTGTCAAAATATACTTTAGGTGAATAAACTACTTCCTAAACTTTGCCAGGTAAAGTATGAGATTGGAGATATTTTTCCCTAACAAACGGAAAACCCTTAAATACAGTTTTAAATACTAGTATAAGCAGTTATCTGTATTGCTTTTCCCTGATTATAAAAATAGGAAATATAACATGCTTGTATAAAAATTGAAATGTAATGAAGAAAGTTCCTTGTAATCCCATACCTAAAGATCACAAACAATAATTAAGCCTATGATCATAACACATTTTGCTTTTACTTAATATCTTCCATATGCAAGAGCAGCATTTCCTAGTTGTGACGGTTGTACATATACTGTGTGGTTTTGTTTTGTTTTTGCTTTTCTTCCCTCTATGGTATAAAATAAGAATGCAAGATACTTTAAGAGAAAATTAACTTATTTTAAGTCATTTGAGATGCTCATATTTGACACATCCAGTGGGCTGAAGATGCATAACTGTTGTGTCTAGGATTTGTTCACTGCCATCTTTCCAGTCCCTGGTTATATTCAGAAGCTGGGAATCCTTTCCCTACACCTCTTAGGGCTTGGCTTTGCACGCTCCCTCTCCTCTTCCCAAGTCTGAGACTCAGGGGGACCTCCCAGTATAAGCAATCCCCTTCCCAACTTCTCAAAGCTTCTCAGAAATTCAAGCCTGGGATCTAGCAGAATGTGGCACCACCTATTATATTTCAGTGTTTATCTTTTAATCGTAATAGTGGAAAAGTAACTCAGGGAAGTTTCAGTGCTGCAGGACATTATGCACTTAAATACAGAATTTGCTCTTAAGAAAGCAGTACAGGGACAACTTATTTTGGAAGATCTACTTTATGTCCAAATCACAGATTAGCCATTTGACAACCCACAGAATAATTATGTTGTATGCACACATATTTTAACTACTTTAGCATGCTTGTATAAGTCTGGAAAGTGAAAAACAAAATGACAAGAGCACAACTGTGAACCAATAAGTAAGAAAATAATTATGCATTAACAACAGAGTAAAGAACAGCTCGTTCTATAAAACTGTTGCTCAAGTAAAGAATGATTGCTGATATTAGCATAGAGCTGAGAATACAACTTTTTTTTTCAAATTCCTAGTTTAACAGGCAATATAGCTAGCCACAGTTTTTCAGGAGCATTATTAAAGCCTAACTTTAGGAATCTGAACCCTAAATTTTCTAAGACATCAAGTAACTGACCTTTTTTCATCCCTTCTGAGAAAGCCTCAATGTGCAATTGCCAGCTATCCTACAGGAAACTGAGTCACTACATCAAATAACATACCTAAATGTCATCGACAGTTAGCAGGACAGAAACAGTGAACTAGTTTAACTTTAGATTTTACCAAGAACACATACATACTGCATTCATCAATAAAATGCTTTCTGCTCAGAAAGCAGTATGTCCTACAGCACTACTTGAAAATAGGTGAAACTTTTTTTAACTGTCCAAAATGTTGCTAAGGCAAGGAACTACAGGGAGAAAAATGCCCAAGCACCAACTGTTGGCTAAATTCCATCAAAGCTAGGAGAGCGCTCTGGAACAAGTGGCTGAGAAACAACCTGAGCCTGTATAAGTCGCCTTCCGCAGTGGCATCAGTTTTCTTCCTGGCACCCTTGAACTATGGAACACCTGTGTTTCTGCTCAGGATCTTCTGTGAACAAACAGTCCTCAACTCTTGCAGGCCAGCACTTGGCTTCCGTCACTGTGATGTGATCAAGGGTTCCCCTGACACATGGCCTCAAACTGTGCCAGGAGCTTCTGGAGAAGATGCTGAAGTAGCAGCTTCCCTTTGAAAAAGAAACAAAGTAATAGCCTTTGAGCCACAGCAGCTAGCTAGAGGTTGAGGTCATTTCTTTGTGAAATGTTCAGCCCATACTCTTACCCCACAACTTACAACTATGTTGACCATTGAGGTAAAAGGAACTGCGTGGATGTTGGTTTCTTTGCCAACACCTGAATGATTAAAGGTCTGTATAAGT